TTGCCTCAAAATATTGCTGCTCAAATCTTAGTATTTTCGAGAAATGACGTTTTTGATGACTTTTTCAAAAGTTTTCAGACAACTTAGATTTACAAAATTTCGCAAATTTTTGAATACCAACCTTGTATGTAGGTGCTGTCAGGGTTCTTTCAGGGGTTGCAATTCTTGTCTCCAATTATGGCTGCTCAATTGCTTTTTGTGTCCGCAATACGACGTTTTTCTATGATTTGTTCAAAAGTTTTCAAAACAGATATGAAAATTTCGTAAATTTGCTTCTTAACAAAAAATTAAACGCTGCAGTGGCGTATCAATGGTTGCACATTTTTGACGGTGCTTTTTTCACTCTGGAAAGTGAATGCTGAAATCTTTTTAATTTCCGAGAGTTGGCGCTTTTTTCAATATTTTCAAAAAAGCCAGATTTACAAAAGCTCTACGAAATCTTTAATTTCAAACCCTGTAATGGGGTGCACTCTGGGTACTCTCAGAAGCTGCAATTCATTCCTCCAAGTTTGGCTTCTCAAATCATCTTAGTTTCCAAAATATGCCATTTTTTATTTAGGGACACTTAAAAAAGCAGATATTTTTATCTGGACTCCATTTATGACTAATCGACGCGTTTGCAGCACCGAAGGTGCGTAGCATGTTAGTTTATACTAATGCGTCTGCCACCATCTCCCCATGTTTAAGCCATACATATGTTTAACTTTAAAGATTTCTGAAACGAATGAAAGTATAAGAGCGATATCGTATATTGCAATGCTTAAGAAATTTTTTCGGTTTTCCAGTTTATGAGAGCTAGGCGAGTTGAAAGGTTTGAATGGAAGGCTCTAGTTATGGTACCAGCTTTAGAGGGAAGGAGGGCAGTGCAGTGTAAGGTATTGTAAAGGTGGGGCTCATCCATCTACATGCGCAACGAGTTTCAGCGTTTGTTTCATCAAAATTGAAATAAACAACCCTTTGACAGAGAGCTGTTAGGATACTCTCAGGGGTTGCAAATCTTGCCCTCGAAAAGCTTTACTCTTTTTAGTTTCCGAGACTTGGCGATTTTTTTTATTTTCTCATTTTCTTTCGAAAACATTTAGAAACATCGAAATTCTCAATGCTATATTGTTGTGCTGTGAGTGTACTTTCAAGGGTTGGAACTAGGCCCTCCAAATTTGATTGCTCAAATACTTTTGGTTCTCGAGATGCGTCATTTTTTATAATTTTTTTTATCTTTCAAAAAGACTGAATTTATGCTTGCGGAACTTGAAATTCTCAATCCTATTGTGGAGGTGCTGGAAACTCTAACGGTTGAAAATTGGTCCTCCAAATTGACTGCTCATATCTTTTTGTTTTTCGAGGTACGGCCTTTTTTATTATACTTTTTTCATGTTTTTTAAACAAACTTCGATTTAAGAAAACTCGAACTTGAAATTATCAATTGTATTGTAGGGTGATTTCAGGTTACTCCCAGGGGTTGCAAACTTGCCCTCCAAATGTGACAGGTCAAATTTTTTGAGTTTCCGAGTTATAGAAATTAAAATAACCTGAAATTCTCAATGCGATAGAGTGCCGTCAAAATATTCTCCGGGGTTGCAACTTTTTCCGCGTGGGGTTGCTCAGTTTTTTTTTGTAGTGTTTGACCATGGCAGTTTCGATGAGTTTTTCATTTTGTCGAAAGCATTTTTTTAGTGATAATTAAATGATATAAAAAAAATTTTCTACCAATTTTGATTTACAAACCTTCTAAAAATTGTAAATTTTAACGGATAGTTTGTTTCTGTCAAGGTACTCTCAGATGTTGCGAGTATGGCCTCTAATCTTGACTGCCCACATAATGTTTGCTTCGGAGACTTGGCGATTCTTTTGGATTTTTCGGTTTTTTCAAAAAAAAACCTTGATGTAAAAAAAATTAAAAGAACCTTAAACTCTCAATTCTATAGTGAAGTGATGTCAGAGACTCAGGGGTTGCAAATTTGCCCTCCAAAATTGACTGCTCAAACCCTTTCGGTTTCCGAGACGCGGCGTTTTTTTTTGATTTTTCATCAAAAAAACAATGTAAAAAAATAAACGAATTTGAAACTCAATCCTATTGGGGGGGGGGGGGGGGGCTCTCAACTGCTCTTAGGGTTGTAATTATACCCTACTAATTTGACTGCTCAAATTTTTTTGAGTTTCTTGAATTGGCGATTTTTATGGTTTTTTAATTTTCTTTCATAAAACTTCAATGTTTAAGTGGGGGTGTTGTCAGAGTATCCTCAGGTTATGCAAATCTGCCCTCCAAATACGACTGCTTAAATCCCTTTAGTTTCCAAAACATGACAATTTTTATGATTTTTTCATTTTTTTCAAGAACTTCAATTTAAAACATTTGAAAGGTTTCGAAACCTCACTTCTATTGTGGGTTAGTGTCGGAAACTCTCAGGGGTTGCAAAACTGTCCTCCAAGTTTCACTTTACACACTTTTTTTGGTTTCAGAGGTATGGCAATTTTTTAACTTTTTTTCCAACAAGTACTTAAAATTCTCAATGCTTAAGTGGGATGTTCTCTGGATACTCTCAGGTGTTGCAAAGATGTCCGCCAAAATTGACTGCTCATTTTTTTGGTTTCATCAGAGATATGGAGATTTTATAATTTTTTCATTTAAAAAAAATGCAAAAAAAATTAAGAGAACCTGAAATTCTCAATGCTATAGTGGGGAGCTGTATTCTCGGGTGTTACATGCTCAAGTGCTAAAATACTCTCTGATTGTGCGTTACACATTTTGATTCCGCGTAGGGTTGCTCAACTCCGGTTATTTTCCGATATTGGCGGTTTTGATGATTTTTTGTTTTAAATGAACATTTTTAGACATATTTTAATGATTAAAAGTAAAATTTCAAACCAATCTGATTTCAAACGCGTTCACCAAATTTTTAAAATACAAAATATTTAAGGTGTTTCTGTCAAGGTACTCTCAGGGGTTGCGAATATGGCCTCCAAATTTGACTGCTCACATTCTGTTCGCTTGCGAGATTTGACGTTTTTCATTTAAATTTCAAAATTACTTATCAAAGCTTTAAAATACCGATCCTCTGTGGTACTCCCTGCAGTTGCAGATGTAGCTTCCATGCTTTTGGTTGCTCAAACTTCTCTAGTTTCCGAGATGAGAAATTTTTGTTTCGATCATTTGAAAAGTTGGGAGGAACTTTGTATTCGGGTGTGTTTGTTCTTTTTTTGTTTCCCCACGCAAAATCAGTTTCCACAAATAATCATCGGAGTGAGTTGAGTGGTATATCTAATCGAAGATTTTCAGTCGTGATTCGAACGACATTTAAATGTCGTGAAAAACTGGTTTTTAATTTTTGATTATTCGTCTAATTTCGAGCGGTTGAACAGGCTTACTTAAGTTTTTTTCTGCTTAATGTAAACCTTGAAAATTTAATAAAAAGTGAAAAAAAAAAATAGTTTTTGGAGTTTTTAGCACCATCTTAAGAATCAAACACTTCAAAATTGAAGAAAAAAAATGAACTTTGACTTTGTTTTTCTAGCCATTGTTCTGCAAAAATTGTTTTCCAATTTGCGTTTTCTAATTGATTGTCGACTATGTCAAAGCTCTTTTTTTTTGTTACGATCCATCACGCCGAAAAAAACGACTCTAATTCGAAAATTATTTTTGTTCTTAGACTATGGTCGGAACATTCTCTGCTAGTTGCACAGTAACCTGCTAAACTTGTTGTTTTTCAAAAAATACTGATTTAATTAATTTGCTCTTAAGTTTGAAGATGTCCACTCTATTGTGGGAAGATTTTAATCACAGGCACATCCAACATCACAAAAAAAATTCGGTAGTTTTGTGGTATTGAGATTTGCCCTATTGAGATTTTTAAAGCGATTTTAGTTTTTAGACAATTCGGAAAAAGCTAGAAAAAAAGGTTTTTTTTTCACTTTCCCAAAATTTTTCATATTTTTTAACGTTAACTGTCTATCGACAACTGTTTTATGTTCTGTTGTAGTAAGTATGCAAGATCTGTGATTGTCGAAGCAGCTTTGCTGCGTTGGGTATGTTAGTCAATTTTTCTGGTGAAATAAGTACCCGGTTGCTTTGAAAGAAACACCGAATGTTCTGATCGTGTAACAAATGTGCATTTTTGTTTGAAAATTTTCGACCACCTAGTCCTTTTCAATGAACCTGTCCCTTTTTGGTCCCATCTTTGAAGAACTCGATCTCTTTTGATTTTTTTTTTCAAAATTGCCTTACGAAAAGTGTTCACAAAATCATTTCATCCAAAAAACGGCCTCTGCCGCAAGATCCTTCTTTTTTCTTAAAATATGGTAATTTTTGGTTTCAAAATTGCTCAAAAATTGGTAATAAATGGACTAATAAAAATGTCGACAAATGCCCTATCTCTTTGAAAATTCTAACTGTTTTTAATGTAACTATAGGAATTTTTTGGTTATCCAATTCCACCAATTAAACTCAAAGTCCCTTTCTCAAAAAAATATTTGCCACTCTGGTAGCAGGGCTAGCTCAAAAAAAATCTCAAAATAAAATAATGTTGACTTAAATTTGCACAAAAACCGCTCCTTTACTGGTTGAGGAATCCATACTATTTGTTGAAAAGAAATCTGAACAATGGAAATATCCAGACCTATTTTCGACGCTCCCTGTTTTCTTTTTCGAAGTTCTTTGAGGTACCCGGAGTTGCATGAAAAAAGCCATCCTGGTCTCTAAATCTTTCCCATTGTTCCGAGAGTGGTCGGAACAAAAATTGAAGGCGGAAAAAGGCGTTGATAAACTTAATATCCTTGAGGTCTTGGTCTAATGATTTCCTGGACAGCCAATGTATTCTTTTCTTTGCTTTGGGATATTTTTTAAACCTCAATTCTATCCAATTTATTATTCATTTATTGCTTTGTTTGGTGAATGGCGGTAATTGAGCGTCATTTGTTTTACTGTTCTCAATTACTGTGATTTAATTGAAATATTTGTTTCCTTTTCCGATATACTATAGAAAATATAACTCTTCGGTTTTCAGGGTCTTCGGGAATGTCGCAGCACCACCAGTCATCAAGCGGATCGCATCATCCATCCTCAGTCGCTGGCGGAGGAGGCGGATCATCCTCGGCTATTAGTGCGGCCAGCCAGGCCATGATGATGGCTGGTGGAGGTATGGCCCACCTGGCCGGTGCTGGAGGGTCGGCCGTGTTAAGTGGAAGTGAGTTGAAACCACCCAAAAAGCCAGAGAAGCCGCAGTCGGCCTACATGCGCTACAACAAGAGCATCCACGAGAAGATCAAAGCAGACAATCCACAGTTGAAAATGTGGGATGTTGCCAAGATCATTGGTCAGATGTGGAGGGAGTTGCCAGACAACGAGAGACAGGTGAGGATCGTTAATTTTTATTATTCAAAAGCGGCTTAGTTTAAGTTTGAGCTGTTTGAAGTGTGGAATCATAGTGTACGAGGAAAGAATTGACCTCATTTTTGAATAAATTAACTAGCGCTTACAAATCGTATAGGTTTTATTCCGGAACCGAAATCATCAACCTTTCGTCTCTAGGTGCTGAACGAGGAGTATGAGATAGACAAGGCACGATACAACGAGGAGTTGAAAGCGTACTATAATTCGCCTGCATATCAGACGTACTTGCAGCTGAAGAACAGAGAGAAACAGCTGCAGGAACAGCACAATGCCTCTCAGTCAGCCGACTCCAGGTCACTGTTGAACGAATCCAAAATGACCATCACTCCTGCTATCGGTTAGTTAGCTATAGTCACAAAGCTTTTTTTTGTTCGTAAAATTAAACAAATTACATTCCATAGTAGGGTTTTTGGAAGAGCGTGATAAACCTAAATAAAGAAGTCTTAAACATAGGTAAATGGCGAATGTATTAGAATTTGAATTAGGATAAATAGCGAATTATCTCAATATTCGACGAGGACCAATCAGTGTATTTTAATAATCGCAAATAAACAGCGAAGATTAATTTAAACAGTAATTAAGATAGTAAAAATAATATTTTGTTTCCAATCTAATCTAATGGTATCGTATATGAAACAAAAACAAGCAAAACTATTGACTGACAGATGACGAGGATTTGGATGAAGACGGGTTTGGACTGAAGCACTTGGCAGCTGCTCGCTACAGGAGGAACAACAGACTCATCCTCGATGTGTTCAGTGACTTCCACGTCAACCCCAGAGACACCAGCCAGACCATAGTGACAGTGGACCGACTGAAGGCACTGCAGAGCCAAGTGGACTCCCTCATTGAACACGAAAACGAACGGATTGACGAGTAAGGCCACATTTGACTTATTACGTGCTAAAAAGCTGGAGTTTATCAGAAAGATATTCATTTTGCAAAGCAGTGGTGAATGCTTAGTTTCAGTGCCTTATCTGAGGCAAAATGGATCTGTCTGATATCATAAATGGCATGCTAATATTTGAAAGGCTCGTACGTGATATATGTTTGTCGCTGTTTAAAAGTCTATGAACTTAGTTCAGACTCTTTTATAGGTCGCGATGATTTTTTTTCGTTTTTTAGGAAGTCTTAAAAGTTGTTAAGGCTCAAATTTTTTTTGCTGTTTGAATTTTGATTTCTTTCAAGTTTACTTCATTTCCTTTGACAAAGGAAGGCAAACTCCAATTTCGAACAGCAAAAATGTAAAGGTCACGACGAAAAACGTGATCGACTTCTAGTTTCGAAAGTGGAATTTAATTTTCAGATTTCCCAGCGGAATCAAATTACCTATCAGTCCAGTGTCAATCATAAACTGTTCTTGAAACTCAAAGGGCTTTAAGGCCATCTTTTTTTTCGTTGAATTTTTAAAGTTGAAGTCTGAAGTCAGCTTTTTCTGTTTTCTTACGATCTGTTTGTTGGCTATGTTAATTTTTATCGGCTATGCTGAGGTAGGTGTGTGTAATTGGGGAATCTACACATGATGGATCAAGCTAGCCCTGTTCCCTGAAAACAATTTTTTTGGAATTAATTTGGATTTAACATTAATTGTTTATTTTAGGTATATGGGGCTGTTAACTCAATAAAAAGAGTCACGAGTTTTTGCGAGTGGTCTAAAAACGGTAACTTTTACTAGGTTGATGTCACTGGACCCCAAGTTGATTGCTTTCGAACGTAAATATGATTAAAAGTACGGTAATTAGCGTTCCTTACGGTAATTGAACGTCATGTGTGGTGACACTTGAAGGACTGTTACCTCGTTGGTCGCAAATAAGCTCTTAATAAACAAGATTACAAGTGATTGCGAAAAAAAATCTGTTGGATTTTTAAATTCAATGGTGGATTTTAGTTTTAAGATTTTTCAGAGGTATCAAAAATGGCCTATTGATCCTCTTTTCTGAAATTAGGTCAGTTTCATCAAAATTTCTTTTAAATAAAAAATGAAGGAGTTCGGGATGATACTTTTTTAGCTCAAACTTTGAATGCCATTCATTTTTCTGAATATAAGTCTATATAACTGATTCACTTTCAGCTCTGGAAGTTTTTGACATCATACGTTTCTTTGTTGTCGATGAGTTTTCTTACCGTGAATTGCAGCTAAGAAATCCAATCAAATCTATGATGACTGCTCGAGTATATACAGCTTCTGCTGCAAAAATACAGTTGGCAGTCAGATTTTCAATTGTTGTTCCGACCATTCAAAATGAAGAGGAACTTTATATTCGAGTGTCATAGTTTTTTTTGTTTTCCACGCAAAATCAGGTACTGCAAATAATCATAGGAAAGATTGTTGGTGTGAAATGTAATAGAGAATGATGAATTTTCTAGTTGCTCTCATGTAGGCTAGTGGAGATGGAGAAGAAGCACGAGGAGAGAAAGCGGAAGATGGAGGAGAGCAGAGAGAAGTTCGAAGCGGAGTGGGACAGACTGAGTGCGAAGAGGTTCAACTGGATGACAACCACTGAGGCCGAACTGAAGGAGATCAAGGCATGGTTCAAACAGACCTACGGGATGGATACTGGTAGCACTACTAGTGCTGACACCACTGAAGACACCAGTGCTTCCAATGAGGAAAAAGGGGAAGCAGCAGAAGACGAACAACAGCAATGTCCGCAGCAGCAACCGGAACAAACGATGAGCGATGATAACAGTAAATTAGGTGAAGAAGATTCTCGGACAGATGTCGATAATAAGAATACTCCCCCTGAGTTGATCAGTCAAGAAGATCAAGCTGATTCAAATAGCAATACTGCTGCTGTAGATGCTAGTAATACAGTTGAACAAACCCAAACCAGCAACACAGTTGAACAAACCAGCAATACAGTTGAACATACCAGCAATACAGTTGAAGATACCAGCAATACAAGTGAACAAACCAGTAATGCTGTTGAACAAGCCAGTAATGTAGTTGAACGAAATAGCAATACAGTTGAACAGGATAGCGCATACGAAACACTAACTGTCTCAGACAGTCAATCTCATAGTGCAATGAAAATAGAACAACAGTGGGGTAGTGATTGCGAGACCAAATCAAGCGATCATGATCATGAAGTACAAGAAGAAACATCAGATACAAAATCCGAAGATGCAGTTAAAGAGGTTAAAGAGGAAAAAACACCAGCCAAAGATGACTCGCGTCAAGAAGAAAATACTGAGCAATGGGCACAGCAGCACTGTGAAGCTGAAGAGCCACAAACACTGCAAGATCCATCTGATCCAATTGAAGATACATCAATTGAATCGTCAGAATCGACTTCAGAATTGGCAGAATCTACGGTGACGATAGAAGCGAACGATTTTAGACGCGAATCGGTAACAGAGGAAGAACCACCTGTCATTTCAATCTCTGAAACAAAGGAATGTGAAGAAAAGGGAGATGCGGCAAGTACTGGCCCTAAGACCCCAGAAATCATAAATGAGAAGAGTGTTCCTCTAGAGGTAAGTTTGGCCCCGCAACAGCCATCTGAAACTGGGGACGAGGGAACTGACGAAGGTGACTCGACTGATGTTGCGCCTACCTCGGAAGAAGACGAAGAGCCACAGAGGCAGAGCTCAGAAGGTTCATCGACTACCGAGCACGCCGATGCATGAACTCTAAAATTGTCGCATATTATGTTGTCTGAATCTTATTAGCCGTTGATGGACTAGTCTTCTTGTGTTTGTATTAGTTTCTATGGTTTTAATTTATTATCTCGAGTGTTTTTCTCTGCATTAAACGATAAATAAAAAGTACAGGAGACAGTTTGTTTGTGTAATAGTATCATAGGATTTTCGAGCCATGGTCTCAAAAAATGGATTGTTGTGGTTACATGCAATTTAGATTTCTAAAGTAATTTAAAGTGTTTATATTAGCACAGGGGCGGATCTAGGATTTTCTCGAGTGTACGGCGGATTTTCAAAAAAAAAAATTGAAAATTTTGTCAACCTTTTTTTAGGTTGACCAAATTGATTTTCTGAGCTCTCCCAAATCAATGTAAAGACCCTATTTTGAAGACACTTTTTGCGCCGCAGTCAAGTTTTTGAAAAAAAACAGGCTTAAAAGCGTTTTTAGGCACTTTGGAAAATTTTGACCAAAAAATCGCGTCCAGCCAAGCCCCCCCCCCCCCCCACCACCCCAAATCCACTGGTCTAGTAGCATCATAGTTGCTTATGACATCTCTCAAACGTTGACTCAACTTTTCGGTCTAAGTCTAAAATGACAAGCTTTCGAAACTCACCACGGTCGCTCGAAATTCACCATCCTAATTTGCTCACCAGTTTTTGTGGACGGAATAATTCATTATGAATGAAGAGAAGATAAAATTTAAACCAAGGCCACAAAATGTTACCTTGTAATGATAGCAGTGCTTAAAGCCGAGCTTAATTCTATATTTTATTCCGATCTATAATATTCCGTTGTATTACAAAAATAAATTGAAAACCAGCGACTTCTCGTTATAATTTTGTTTTTTTTTTATTTTTTTTTTGTTTAGAATGACCCTTTTTGGTTGATCAGAATCTTTGTTCAAAATGACCCTCTAAGCTTGATGTTTTTTAATTTAAGCAATTAAAAATTCGACAAGTGGTGCTTCAGAAATTTTTGGTAAGTATTTTGATGGGTTTCAGTAACGCCGAATTTCAGTCAACATGAAAAATGCTAGCTTTCATTTTCAAAATTGCAGAAACGTAAATCTATACAGTTAATATAAGTGAACTGCAACAGAAGTGCCCGATTTTCAAGGTTTGTCATTTATATGCATAATTGTTCAGCGCAAATACGAAAATTTTGAGCCATGTTTTGCACAAAGCGGAAGTTAAATATTCTAACAAAAGTTATTGAACGTAGTTTTTTAACTGACTTGAAAGTAATTTTGAGAAGAAAATAGTCCTCTCAAACAATTCTTAATCTTTTTTTTGACATAAAAACGTCATCCGAGCGATTTTGGTGCTCTTGCTAAAGTACTTGTTTTCAAATTTTTCTCAACCATTGTTTTGTTCCGACTGATCAGTTCTCGAGTGATGTTTTTTTTAATCCGATTGTTCCGACTGATATTTTTTGATCAGTTCTCCCCTTCCACGCAATGACAAGTACAAGTGATGGTCTTACCGTCTAGCAAGATAATAGTATCACTGAATATCTTGCCTCCATTAAAATTGGAAGTATGTTTGAGCGGATTAGCTAGCCCAAATGAGCCTAATTGGCAATTTTTAAACCCCCTGTATTTTACGAAAAAAGATTACCGGAAAAAAAATCAGAACAATATACCACGAAAAAATAGAGAGACAAAAATGTTTCCTTTATTGGAATAGTTGTTATTGTATCTCCAAAAACAAACAATTTGGAAAACCTTGAATTTGATTAACTGTTATAAGCAGACTTTCAATGAGCCCAAATGAGTTTCAGTCATGAGCGTGTGACTTGGTTTTATCTGAACTTAAAATTTGCTTAAAGGCATCACTCGACATGCTTAGCTATCTCTATGATGTTTTCTCGATGCATTTATAACAGTTGTTTGCTATGTTTTGATAAAACAAAAAAAAACGAATTTATTATTTTTGTTCCGACTTTTGAAGAAAGTGAAGGATTATTTGTGCTCGGGTTGTTTTTTTCTCTAGACCAATTTCGACTTTTTAATTAGAAACTTTTGAGTATTTGTTCTGGTCGAGAGAAAGGTAATGTTGTCTCAAGCTCAATTTTGACAGGATTTTTTTACATGATCATTTTTTGTAAAGTATTGGGGTTAAAAGATTGCAAATTTGACATAATTATTTACCACTTTGTACTCTATATGGTGGGTGGGATGATAGTTTCTCAAAAAATCTCAAAAAATTATCGGAGACTTAAATTTTTTTTCAGTTGTTTGAAAAAATAAAAATTTTTAAAATAAACACTGCTCCACAGACCTTAAAAGGCAGTCGGAACATTCAGGACTTCGCTCTTATACGAGTAGTCGTGTTAAGTTATATTGTACCAATTCATTCTATAGTCGGAACTTTTTAAAGCGAAAAGTTATAAATAGCAACAGAATTTTCGCTGAAAAATTCCTTTTGTGTGTTTATCGGGAATCCGTAGAGAAGAAGTTCTCGCTAAACTTTATTCAAAAAATCTCGAAAGGTATGAAATAGGTTTTTCTCGAAGAGATGGATTGCATAATATCAAGGAAACGGAAATAAAATACCATCTTTCCCTCTTTCTAAACAGTTCAAGGTAAAACCTCCGCCCCGCTGTTTAAACCTCCACGCGTCACTGCTATAGATTTTGGCGGTTTTTTTTTTTCAAATTCATCTTTTTGTGGAATTGAAGTAATCCTAGTCAATGTGGCGTTCGCTTAAACTTTTTTGGTAATTGGCAGTGGTTCCTCGGAAACGTTGGTCTGAATTGGAGTTTGAGCTACTCTACTTACAGCAGAGGCAGTTTTTCGAAAAAAAAAATGGGTGCACATTTTCGATGATACGGGTGTTTTTATGAACAACTTTGCCGATTGTTTTGAGCACTTTTTTGTTTGCACTAGTGTCTATTCAATATCAAGTGCAAATGGCGTGGAAACAGCTCTCAACTTAAATAAATTTTTTTAAACATCAATTAGAATGATGTTTTCAGAAGGATTTTTATTAACACAAGATAGGACAAACGCTAAAAACTTGATATTAAAGCCAATTTTGTCTTATTTGGGATTCCATAATGAAATAGCTTTTCAACGCCATATCTGTCAAAAATAACACCAGATTGAACAAAGCTTAGTTGAATTGAACTTAGGTCAAAAATAAAAAAAATTTGAACAAACTTTGCTCTAAATTGGACAACATAGCCAAAAAATAAGACAAGACTGCTCGTAATCAGCGCAAAGCCCTGAATGTTCTGACTGTCCCTTAGTTCATATCGAATAGTTTTTGGGTAAAGAAAATAATGAAAACCTATACATTTTGGACAATATCAATGTGTTAAATGTAGAGTCGTACGAAATTAATACGAACAATTAGCTAGCCTCAATTCATTTTGGAACGATTTTGTTGTGCGGGATAATTCGCCACGCATGAATAATTCGCAATACGCTCTCAGCACTATGAATAAACTCTTCAAAAGGCGCATAATTTAGTCCAGAACATGGCCAATTTGTGTAACTTCGAACCCCCAGAACTTCAGAAAAAATAATCGGAGGCAAAATATCTTTTTCGATTTCAACTCACAAGTCAAAATCTTCAATGGTGTATGAAAAAATTCTGTTGAAAATTATTATTTCGATCGGTGAAAATTAATTGAATAAAAAAACCACACCGAGCATAAATATTCCGTTTTCTTCGAAAGTCGGAACAAAAACATTGATCAATGAACAGCGTAATAATTTGAACCCTCCCTTATTTAGCCTTTTTTCTTCTTCACCGCCAAACATAAAGGAATTAAGAACATTATATGTGGTGGAACAAGTCACGCCAAGGATTTTCGTAATCTCAACGATGTCGTCTCTATTCTGAGCAGCATCAATAATTGCTAGCTTTGCTTCATTTGAATGTTTTGATATACTTGTTTTTGCATTTTAGATTTTTCAGTTTTTATAGGAATTGTTTGGAGTTGGTCCAATTCATTATAAAATTTATTCAAATAGAGTCAAGTTTGTTGCATTCGGTTTTACTTTCTGCGTCATGTTCAAATCAAAATAAACGTTGTTGTTCCGACTTTCGATACGAAAGTAACGGAATATTTGTGCTCGGGTGGTTTTTTTTTCTTCAGACAAATTTCGACTTTTTAACTAGCCATTTTTGACGGAATTTTTAATATCATTCAAAAGCCATTGGTGTCTTGAGCTTAAATTTGAAAAGATATTTCACCTGTGACCTTTTTTCGTAAAGTTATGAAGGTTTAAAGATTGCTATTTTGGTAATTTTGACCAATTTGGGACAATTAACGCGCAATATAATTCGCGCTATTAACGCGTAAGCGGAGATTTAATCCGTCTTATAAATCGTTCCAAATTGGTTGAACGAAGCTTATTTGCCATAATTGATTTGTTACAAGGAACGAAATCTATCTTTTTGTACTTTATATGGCGTGTGGGGAGATGATTTTCATTAAAAAACTTCAAATTTTTGGGAAAAAAAAATTCATTTTATTTTATTTCATTTAATTTTTTTTATGTTTTACTGCTGCTCAATAAACCTCAAAAGGCAGTCGGAATATTCAAGGCTTCGCCCTGATACGAGCAGTCTTGTTCAATTCGCTGTTACTTTTGTCAGATATGGCTTTGAAACATTATAGTTTAAAAAACTCCCAGATTTGAGAAAAATTGGTTAGCATTTTTTCATGTTTTAACCTGATCCTGATTTTTTGCAAGATAGACTTATTGAAAAGCAAAAGAACCACGATAAATTTAATTTTGCTTGTCTAGTTTTGCAAATATTTTTTTTTTGTTTTTACTAACGAATGATTTTTGCAGTTTGTAACTAAAAACAATAAAAAAGCAAATAGTTGCATTTGTATTTTCGACGACGTCATGGAGTGAGAAAAAGAAATTTTAAAGTTAGTGGGGTTGTTTTTCGCCCGATATCAGGTACGTCAAGAAAATTTTGTCCCGCTTCAATTGGGTGTGTTATCTTCATAGAGACTTCTTGTCGATTCAAGAACACTGATTTTTTTGGTTTGATTTTTTCCTTTTCTTAAAAATGAAATGACAGGAATTTCGTTATAAAACTGAGCTCCAATTAAACTCTATTGTGATTGTGAA